CATGTTTCAAAAGAGATGTATTAATAGATATTGTATAATTTTTGTTCTCACCCATAAGTTCTTCAAAGTCTGGCAGAGTGGGCTTGAACAGATAGATGGCTTAGCCATGAAGCCATGACACCTGAGTTGACCCTCTAGACCTCACCTAGGAATCCAGGTAGCATGGCATACCTGTAATCTGAGCAATGGAGAAGGACAAATAGGAGGGTACTTGGAGCTTGTTGGCCTGTCTAGCCAAACACTAGGCCGAGCTCCAGGAGTCCACTTGAAGAGAGACAAGAGGGATTCTATGAGCAAGAGGCATCAAGATCATGATGGGGAAATCATCAAGATCATGATGGGGAAATCTACAGAGACAACGAAACCAAACTAGTGGGAACTCATGAAATGTTCTTTAACCTCAGGCAAATACAAAATAAAACTACCTGGACAGTCTATCTTACCCTACTCAGAATGGCTATCATTAAGAAAACAATTATGTTGAGGACAGGATGGGCCAAAGGGGAACTCATTCACTGCTAGTAGGGTTGCAAATTGGATCAATCATGATTGAAATCGCTAAGAACATTCTTCATAAAACTAAAAGCAGAACTGTCATATCATCTATATATACTCCTTCTGATCATATTTCCCCGAAAAAAAAAAAAAAACTAAATCTGCGTACTATCTGAAGGAAACAATAAGTTAAGGAATCAACTTAGGGACCCATCAACAGATAAGTCGATTAAAACTTGATGTATACTAGTGGAAGCCCATGAACTATAGACTAGTGGCTGTCGAGCCCCCATGGGACTGGACTAGACCCTCTGGATATGGAAGACGGTTGTTTGGCTAGAACTGTTTGGGGGGGGAACCCAAGCAGGGGGATCGAGATCAGTCCCTGGTACATGGGCAGGCTTTTGGGAATCCAATACCTGTGGTGTGGTGCCTTGCACAGCCTTGGTGCAGTAGGGAAGGGCTTGGACCTGCCTAGGCTCAGTGTGCCAAGCTCTGCTGACTCCCCATGGAGACCTTGATTTGGGGAATGTGGGGATGTGGGGTGGCTAGTGACAGAGGGCTGGAGGGTGGGAGGAGGAAGGAGGAGGGAGCTATGGGTGGTATGTAGAGTGAGTAAAAAAATTCTTAATAAAGAAAAATGAAAAAAATTGATGTGCAAATATAGGTGATATAGATAAAGATAGGTATTTTTTCCTTGCTTTCAGTGCTAGAGAATGTTTGTGTGGCCTTAGACATACCAATCAAGCACCCACCCATTGTGCTATATCTCTAGACCTCACACTATAGTTTTATTAAGTCATAAGGAAAAATTAAATTATGCCATGTGAAAAAAATGAATGGAGATAGAGAGCATGTTAAGTAAAATAAGCCAGATACAGAATGAAAAACACTGCCAACTTTCTCTCATATGTGGATTCTAAGTGCAAATATTAACATATGCATATTGTCATACAAGTAGAAGACAAACTACTTGGGAAGAGAAAAGACACTAGCAAGACAGATGGGAAAAGCAGGGTTAATAGTGGGGAGGAATATGAGAAAAATAAATGATTTACTTGTATGAAGATACCATAAAGAAACTGTATATAATGAATGCATGCTAACACTTCAAAAGTATTTGAGAAGTTAGGTAATAATCAGTAACAAAAATAAAAATAAATTCTGAATTCAGCTTATGTTGATGCTTTGTGTTTGTTTTAATTTCAACATTGATTTCTCTGGTGTCATATTTACATTTGTCAGGATTGTATCCCTTCATCAAACTATTTCATGCTCCAATAGTTTATTAATCCTCAGCAAATAATAATTTAAATAATTAGTTAAATAATTAAATGAGCAATTTGACCTGTTACTAGCAATACAATAACAAGGAAAGCTGACTAGCTTCATGAGATTTAGAGTCTTATGACCCATATATGTTCACATTAAAATGATATCTCTGTATTAGAAACTGCTAAGTCATTCTGCAGTTGGATAACACACACACACACACACACACACACACACACACACACACACACACAACATTCAAGAAATAGTAAAAGAGCAAAATAATCAATTTCACACTTTTTCATTGCTTTTTCTGCAGGCTTAACTATGAAAAATAATATATACTAATATATACAATCTAAGTAATTCACTATATTATGAATTAACAAAAATTCAAATGCTTTACATATCAGCACAATGTGAGTGCAATATTAAGTGCTGAATCAAAGGGTAGTTGTTGCCCTCATTACTTAGATTTTTTGGTCTGTTATTTCTTCAAAATATAATTCTTTCGCAGAATTAACTGGTAAAAGTAATTAAACATTTTATGACCCTTAATACATGTTTTTCATATTTATGCAAATATTTGTTCTAGTTATTAATAGATAAATTAATAGAATGAAGCAATACTAAATATATTCTTTTTATCATTCCAAAATTGTCATTAGCATATTTAGCTTATAACTTACTGTTGCAGAATACTTGTTTACACAGAAAAATATATGTCTTTGCCAAGATGCCTTCTGATTGGTTTAAAAAAAGCTAAATGGCCAATAGCTAGACAGGAAAAGAATAGGCAGGACTTCCAGGCAGAGAGAGAAACTGGAAGAAGGAATCTAGGCACACGGATTCACCAGTGAGACAGAGACAAAACAGTATGTGTGAGACGGAAGAAAGGTAATGCTATGTGGCAGAGCATAGATTAATATAAATGGGTTAATTCAAATTATGAGAACTAGTTGAGAACAAGCCTAAGCTAAGGTTGAGCTTTCATAATTAATAATAAGTCACCATATTCTTATATGTACACTGGCAGCCCAAAGAAAAACCTGACTATAATTCACCTATCAGTTTCATCAGTACATCTCCTATTATGACCACATTGCAAGTTAAATCCTTCTAACTTAATGTTTTGACCTGTTGAAAATCTTATTATAAAAGGGAGGCTTTTAATATTTCTCCAATATTATTGTTTTTCTATTTTTTTATTTTCTTTTTCCATATGTTACTTATGCTAAAAGTGCATTACATATATTTAATATACACAATATGTTGTAAAATAGATATAAATATGAAAATGTTATCATGAAATAAGATAATACATCCATAATTTCATGTAGCAACCCATTTTCTTTGAGTGTTGTAGGTACAGGTGTGAGTGTGGGTACTTCTAGAGCAGCTAAAATCTACTCATTTAGCAAAGCATCAAACACAGCATAATAATTTTATTAATTGTAGCCCACAGTTGGACATTAGATCTACACAATTATTCTTTCATACATTTGCCACCTTCCAAACCTTGATACAGAACAGAATATTTATTTTATAAACATTCTGTACTATAAAATGCAATATCTTCGGTATTTCCACTATACTTCCTTTAAAATATTTCCAAGTTTCATAAATAACTACTTTTCTGGAGCTCAATTAAATGTTGGTTTTCCTAGTCATATTCTACAATCTTTTAAAAACTCATTGGTTCATTTTCACATTTAATCTCACAGCTCTTCTTAATTTACTCAGTTTTCATCTTAACCAGACTGCTCTGTGGTCATGACTGTTTCTCCTATGAAACGACCATCGACCTATATCATGACAAATTGAAGAGTTGTCATTCCTCGCCCATCTATAAATTCTTTTTCATGTATCTCCTACAATATGGTGGTCTGATTGATTCTTCCTAGCTGTCTGACAGCTACATGTTTTTTGTAGTTAATCCATCCAGTTTTTAATGGTTCTCAATATTCTTTGTCTTATTTCTAAGGCTTGAAACACTATCTAATGGTGAAACACTGAAATTTATGACTGCAGGCTTCAGCATATCATCATATTTGCATACCTAAATTTCTACTAATCTCTCCATATATAAATGTCTACTTGACATAATAATTCATATATCCAAATAAAGATCTTGGTTCTTTTTTTTTTTTTTTTTTTTTTTTGGTTTTTCGAGACAGGGTTTCTCTGTGTAGCTTTGCGCCTTTCCTGGAGCTCACTTGGTAGCCCAGGCTGGCCTCGAACTCACAGAGATCCGCCTGGCTCTGCCTCCCAAGTGCTGGGATTAAAGGCGTGCGCCACCAACGCCCGGCTGATCTTGGTTCTTTTTGATGTCATTCAAACACTTCCTCCAATGTTCTCCCTATACAAGTAATTATGACAACTATTGACTAGTTACTAGACTGCCATCTTATTTCTCATCTCCTGAGTGACATCCAATTCATGTCAGTCAATTCCATCCATCCTCTGCTACCAGATTTCTTTTTAATAACAAATACAGGAGAATTCCAGTGGCTGGTTGATTCTTCAGTATGCTGAGCATTTAACTTCTCTTGTACCAGCTATTCAAAGGCCTATAGTTTCTCTTCTGTTAAGGCCAGTGCTGAATCCATAAAGGCTATCTGTTAACCATTGTAAAGGTAGGGTTGTTGGTTTCTTTGAATGATCAGCAGCTGTTGTGCCCTGTTCTTGTACAATCTGGATGGTCAGTGCCTGTTCTTTGTAATACCTTCTAATATTTTTCTCAGAAACATATGTTAGTTTATGGTTTGTTTCTGAGTTTAGAGGAATGTTAATCTGGATATTCCATTTTTGTAATAAATCACATCCCCATAAATTTATAGCTATATTAGCCACATATGGCTTTAACTTTCCTCTCTGTACTTCTGGCCCTATACATTAGACCCATCTTGCACTCTGTTTAATTTGAGATAATGTTCCAATCCCTAACAGCTGAACATTTACCACCTGAAGAGGCCAATTTGGATGCCAAGATTCTGGTGCAATTATTGTTATGTCTGCACCTATGTCTACAAGACTTTCAATGAGAATGTCATTTATTCATATTTTTAATTTTGGTCTTTGTTCATTTATAGACGTTTACCAAAAAATTCACTTTATGGTTTCTCCTGGATTTTTTGTCCTCTCTTTTTTAGCTGTTCTATCACTCTGAGCAGTATGTTTTTTGTGTTTTTTTTTACAATAGTAATTGGGTTCTTTAATTACTCTGGAAATAGGTTTCTTCTATGATGGCAGAAAAGGACTAAACCGAATTTGTCATGAGGACCTACAAGAGGCCCCTCAGGGAGTTCCCCAATTGCAAAGGTAATGGATTACCGTGTCTGTCTATTGTTGATCTACATCCATTAGTGCAATGTTTGCCTTTACCACACCTTCTACATAATCCAGAAGGGAGGGGCATTCTGTTGCCAATATTCCTTGAAGAAACATTGTTTGTAGGAAGGCCCTTTTTACAGTCCCTTTTTAGGTGACCTTGTTTACCACATTTGAAACATCTGACATTACTATATTTCTTCAAACATCTGGAAATAACTTCTCCTATCTAAGTATCATTTTGTTCATTCTGACACTGACTCCAAACACAGAACTCCTTTATCTCTAGCACAGTCTTTTATAGGCTATAGTATTCTAAATGCTTTCAGATTCCCTGCACTTGACTGGCTTCCTACACTATTTCCCTTAAGTAGCAAGAATGATTTTGATTTTGCTATTTAAAATAGTAATGCACATATGGTGATATTAATTCTGACATCAATCTCTTATGAGAATTAGATTTACTTTCCCATTTCATAGATAAGAAAAAAAAATATTTTCCAGTATCATAGCTATTATTTCACAGAGCTGGAATTTAAACTATAGCCATCTGTGAGCAGCTCCTTTTGACACATGCACTTACTTAGGCTTTAACCATACCAGTGCTTCTTGTTCTTTGTAGAATAAACTATTCCTGCCCATGACTTTTATCTCCATTGTTTTTACATGCATCTACCAGTCTTTCCACCCACAACCTCAAAGTTATACCTAACCCCATCCTGTTGTTCTGCAAATACCATCAAATAGGTTTCTTTCTCAGGGCCTGGTGCTTCTCCTCAGCCATGTAGTTTGTCCAGCTCTCTCTATTTCTGTATAATGCACATGTTCAATGATTCAATTTTTTGCTGGATTGTCCTAGAAACCTGTCTTCCACTACCTTGTCTCCCTCAAGTACCCACTCCTTCACTCTCTATCCTGTTGTCTTACTGTATAATCTCTGTCATTTCCTAAAAATACTAAAGTGCATTACTTTAGCACTCAATCACTCAAATTATATAGGTTCATAGTATTTTTTTTCTCTAAAGTTTTGACATCTATATCTGGAAATAACTTCACAGTGAATCAAAATGTATTCTGCCTATTAATGTCACCCTAGAAGATGTCAGCCTATAATAGTCTATTTAACTGTGCTAATATTCAAAAAAAGAGTGTCAAACTTAGCCATTTCTGTTGTAGATGTTTGAATAGATGTATTTAATAATGGACGCATTAAATAATATTTGGTTGTCTCATTTCATACATTTTTAAAATATTATTAACTAAAGAATGATTTTCATTTGGTTTTGGCAAATTTAAATTTCCAACCTGTATTTGATACCTCATAAATGATATGAGGTAAAGCATAGTTGATGTAAGTAAGCAATTCCCTTCCTTAATTTCTAATATCCTGGTTTCTCACTGTTCCCAGGAATAATCCAACCAAGAAAATTTTAACTAAAATGTGGCTGAAATTATATGACACTTTTTCCTTGAAACCATTGCTCAAAGCACAAGATGAACATTTTACTTGAATGTAGGTAAGACCAATTTCTCCAAGTGTTTAGGACAAAACAAAACTTAACATTTAGGCTAGTAATGACATTTAAAATACCCTATTCTATCAAAGTGAGGTGTTTTTTTTTTCTTCTTTTATTCCTTAAAGCATCTGATAAAAGTATAGTATTTGGAAAGATAGAGAATACACGTGGGCATTCGGAGAAGCAAAAAGTATGTGAAGCATGCAAAAATAACGAGGGGAAGATATTTGTTGATCTGAACTTCAATAGCCTACTGGTCCCCTGGGAAGATACGTTTACAGACTCCTCAATCATTTATGCTACTAGCCTTTTCTTTTCTGGCAGGTATATTGTTGCTGGTTTTGTTTTTGTTTTTGTTTTTGTTTTCTTTAAGTGGGTCAAGAGCACATATGTTTTAAATACAAAAAAAATAAGTTAAGGTTCCAAATAATAAGGTCTGGGTTTAAAAATTATAGCATTCACAGGAATATGCTTTAAGGCTTTAGTTATTCCCAGCATGGCCTGCTGGGCTTGCTGCATTCTCTGAAGAAAACCATCTGCATTCTCCACAATGTATGTCGTGCTACCAACTGTTATTGGAGAAACACAACATGTTAAGCACATGATGTGTCAGGTAAGGGGAAACTGTAGTTTTCCTCCAGAACAATAATTTCTGTTGAAGCTGCATTTCCTCAATCCCTGGTGTGCAGTACATGGCCCTAACTCCTGCCACTGGAGTGCCATTTCAAGTGCTCATGTCCTTGTGTTTTCAGTGATTCATAGTGTCCTCACATTCCAGAATCCGGAACAAAACAGTTTTCTCATTCTCTGTGTGCCTGTAAACCTTGCCTACCCACCCCCTGCCCCTGCCTTTTCAGCATGCCAGCAGATTCTGAATTTACAGTGACAGAAATCCATACAAGCCTGATAATTTGTGGGCTAATCAGCATTTATTAGATGTGATGGAGTACACGCAGCAGCTAAGCATCTTAACTATTGATACCAGATCTAATATTGGGGTTTTATTTAATTGTTTCAAGTTATAAGAAGCAGGGTCTCACTCTGCCTAGAACTCACATTATAGTGCAGGCTAGCTTTGAATTCATAATCCCCCAACATTAACATCCCAAATGATGTGATCACAGGCATGCATTTCCACTCAGCTAGATTGTCTGCCTTTGTGAAGTTTGCCTCTGGTGGAGAAAGTCTGTTGATCATTACTTCTTGAATCTCAGAGGGAAATGAGTTGTCTGCCTGGATATTTGGCATAAAAATGACTACCCTGGGTGTTGTCAAGTTAAGAAAAATACTTTTAGTGGTGTAGCTTTGGCTCAACTTGTGTGTTTTAACACTTCTTTAATCTTACAAAATTACAATATGCTCCTCTTCTTTCATTAAGCACCCAAGCCAAAGCTGTACTTAGTGTTGCCTTAGAAATTATCCCACACGCCAGTTTGCTTGCCTTTTTGTATTATTGCATGAAACTATAGATTTTCTTCAATGCTAAAAATGTTCTTGTCATTCATGCTTGGCAGATGTGAGCTGGAGACTCCCTGTAAGTGTTTAAAAACTATATTCACTCTATGAGCAATTTATTTGTTCATAAATGTCAGCTGGGCTTTTAAGCCTGTAGGAAGCAATACCCATAAAACTTTAAATTTTTATAAACTTTTAACTTTAAATGTAGTCTGGAGGAATACAAATTAAGCTAGCACCATATAAAAATATACGTATTTTTCCCTTGGAGGCACTTCCCTCCAAATGCATTGTTCAGTAACTCAAGTCATACAACCAAGCTATGTTTTACTATTTAGTTGTGTGACAAGGGGTTTAATCAGCCTGAAAAATGTTGACACCTCAATATGTGTGTGTTAGAAAGGAACATATTGTTTGATTTTTGGAACTTGGGACTAAAAGCTCACACTTTTCATTTTGTGGAAAATCCAATAACTATATACCAGTAAGAATAGCTGGTGCAGAAAATTTTAAATTAAATATGAAAAATGCAAATTGTCAGGCATTAGGTTATGCTATTACCCTTGATTTAGTGAAGCTATGCCTAGAGAAAGACGTCTTATGTATTAGGTTGTTCTCTATAAAGTAGACATTTTTTTTTCTGTATCATGTTTCTCTTTCAAAAGTTTACCTTTAACATAAGCCCTAGTTCACCAATGAAGCTATTGACAAAAAAATTCAGACTCTTAAAAATGCATACACAGTTACATATACAAAATGACAAGAGAACATGCTATATAAAATAAATACTTTTAACTAAATTACTTCTCAAGGTGTCCAAAGTATTGCTTTCTAATCAAATTTGACATTTGAAGTAATAAAGTTCTGCTGTTCTCTGATTAACACATTAGTTTATAACCAAGTTCATTCATTTCATCATTAATGAAAAATAATTGAGTGGCTACCATATGCCAAGCTTTCATGAACTTTGAAGAGTACTTGTTTCAGTCTGTCATGAAATGTTATACTTTTAACTACTCTATAGATCAGATAGGTTCCTAAGACAGTATTTGAAATCCTATGTCTTCAAAATGAAAGCCATGAACAAATTATGACATGTGGAATCATGCAGAATGCTTCTTAATATGAACAGAATCAGACAATAATTTCAGAGATGTGAGTGTGTTAATGCTCTGTGTGTAAGTTTTCCAGTTTGTACAACAGAAAGTGTAAGTACATATGCCTCTCATTTTTGTTCTTATGACTAGATGTTATAACATGTATTATTTGCTTTACAAAGTGCCAGATACATTATAAAATAGGCAATTGATAGTTTGGGGTAGAGGTTCACACCTGGAATCATAACTTAGGGGGCTGAGGTAGGAAGATCACAAGTTTGAGAACAGCTAAGAGGTACATAGTATTGTGACATTAACAAGAACAGTTATATATAATGATTAGAACAAAACAATTAAATGAATTTTAATAAAGGAAGACAAAACCACAGAACATTCTTGCTCAACCATCACGAAAGAAGCTTCCTCTTGTAGTAGATAGGAACTACTACAGAGACAGACCTACAGCTGGAAAATTTGCAGAGACTTTGGGACACTTAGTCCTAAATGGGATGTCTCCATGAAACCACTCCCCTCAGGGTTCGGGGAGCTATGTGAAAGAGAAGGTGGGAAGATTGTAAGAGGTAGAAGGGATGCATGATACCAAAGAAACAGTATCTTCCATATATAACAGGACTGATGCACATGTGAACTCACAGAGACTATGGAGCCACGCTAAGAGCTTGCACAGATCCAAATCAGGTGGATAAAATGCTGAGATGGGAAAGTGGATTCCTAACCAAGAAGTTAGCTCCAATTGATGACTACTTGCAAAGGAAAAAAATCAGTTTTCTCCAGTGGAGTCTCAGAGAGTATATAAAACCACACTTAAGGACAGGCCCTCTATCCAGTAGTAGGTGGCCAACACAAAGCGAACATAATGGTGTTTTTAGTAGATTTTCTTTGTCTCATATTGCTTTGGGCATTTTTTTATTTTACTGGTCTTTTGCTTGTGTATGATGGTTTCCAATCGTGTCTGTGTGTGTGTGTGTGTGTGTGTGTGTGTGTGTGTGTGTGTGTTGTTTACCTTTTACTTGCCTATTATTTTCTAGAGAGGGGAATAAGGCATGGAGTTGGATGAGTGGGCAAGTGGGGGAAGAGATAGGAGAGAGGAAACAGGTATTAGACCATACTGTATGAATTTTCAATAAAAAATTAAAGGATTTAATGCCAAAAAAGAGAGATAACATTAAATACTGAAAAGTTACCAAGAGGCTTAGATCAAATTCCATTATGGCTTTTGATTTCATGTAAAATGCTATATTCTTTTCTAAGAAAATGAATATGATCATATTCTAATATTTATGAATTTCTAAAAAATTACATATAGGTATTTGATAGTATGCTTTAATATTTATTTATTTATTTTAAAAAAATAAAGTAAAATAAAACCAAGCCAAAAAATTCAAACTTTAGGAGTTTGATAAATTTTATATATATATATATATATATATATATATATATATATATATATTTATATATATATATTTATATATATATATATTAAGGAAAGAAAGACTTTTAATCTAAAAACAAACTTATTTATTATGACTATCTCTTTCATTGTCAAAGATTCTTCAAGGAGTAACTACAGATAAAATGGGAATTAAAATATGGGGATAGCTGGAGGGATGGGTTATCATTTTTAAAGGAGGTGTATAAAGAAACCAATCAAAACAGGAGACATGCATATTCTTCATTAAATGTGAGAGTGAAATAAGTCAGCGTGTCTGTGAGTGTCAAGGAGATTAAATGTAATGTCAAAAAACAAAAGATGAGTCAATGAGATGAACTGAGCCAAATCTGCTTGGGTGGAGAAGGAGCAGTGTGGACAAGTGTATGAAATGTCAACACTGGAGAGAATAAAATGTCCCAGAGAAGTCACATGACCACGAATGCCACTATTCTCTCTTTCTCTATAATAAAAACCAAACTGCCATTGGAAAACAAATATGACTGCAAATAATTCTCCCAGTTAGGACAGATTGTTTCTTGCCATGTTAAAGTAGGTTTCCTTAACCTACAAATAACAAAAGGAAAAATAGAATTCATTATATACTTTGGGTTGTGACTCTAGTCTTCCTGTTGTATGTATCAATCCCTTTCTCTGTGCTCAAGAAAAAAGAAGAAACTCAGTATATATTACTTAGGGAATATTGATCTTACTAAACCCCAAGGATACACATGTGTTGATGAATTAAATAAATTAATTTTAGGTCACAGAGAAATTAACTGTTATTAAACTTAGTCATATTCCAATGATTTGCAAAGGCTCCAGGAATAAAAATTTTACACCACACATCCATGATAGATTTTTTCTTCTTTAATTAAATTCATTTTATTTTATGTTTTTGAGTAAAATATTTGCTTTGTATTTTGCATGGTGGCATGTTTGTTTGATTTAACTGCATGGTGTCTTGTAGCATAAGGTAGTCTTGAACCTACCATGAAGCCTATACTGACTTTAAAATCTGATCCTCTTTTCTTAGTCAACCAAATGTTGCAGTCTGCAATGTGCACCATCATGTCTCAATAGTGAATTGATTTTTTAACATAAAATAAAAAACAGATGTAGATATTAACTAGAGAACCTGTGGCACATTGACTGCTGAGTGATGCCCAAGTCAGGTCATACCTAATAATATTCTTAAAGATTTATACTTTAGTTGTACAAAACTTCTTCTAGGTTTTCTAAAATCAACAGTGTATTGTTGTTTTCTATAGTCCACCTTACCATCCAACAGTATGAGTATACTCTGATCCTCCCTATCTGCAATTCAGTACCCACTGGCCAGCATTTCAGCCTCCCTCCATAAGTTAAC